GAGCTGTAAATGCCCATGCACTCTTATGTCCTCGTATAACTGACCCGTCTGTGAAGATCAGCACATCTGTCTCATCTGATTTGTCACTGATAAGCGTGCATACCTCGGCATTGACAGCAACAGGATTCTGCTCCCGACAACTCCTGTCAAGCGTGAAGACACAGGAGAATGTGAGATTGGGCGCTTTAGACGCTGGTATCCATTCCTCACCTAAGAAAGATATCTGTAAGGCGGTGTGGCTATGACACATGTTGTTCAATCTTTCAGTATATATATATCATTGACAGTTCTTCTAACCCTGTAAATGTGAGCAATGCTAGTGGTAGTTTCACCTTTCTTCAAACATTAGATAAACATTTCTAGTTAAGATTAGGTCTTATTTTTTTAAGGTCAGGTAAAAAGACAGAACACTGTCGTAACCTTATGATGATGAAACAGTTAATCGGGGCACTATGGAAAACCCTTTTATTTGAACACACAGGCTGTTCTGTCATGACTGAGACCAGTATGAAATACAATAGCGGCTGGTTAGTGATGGGTTTCTGCATGCCAGATTGAGCTCCACTCTCCCACCACCGATGATTAGTCACCTCTGCCATCATACAGTACAATCACTTCCAGTTGTATACAGTAGGATGTGAGAGTTATTTGTGGACAGTTTTAAAGATGCCTATTTGTTTGTTCATACTCATGCATAAAAATTGTTTTAGGCGATAAAGGATAACAGAGGCTGGCGGTTAAATGAGGGATTGTTAATAAAAGTTCTACTGTAATTGTTTTAGTTGGTTTGCAGGTGTCTGACCAGTACATCAGCACTGATTTAATATTGATGTTAAATGTTCTAACTTTGGCATAAGATTTACGGTAAAACCTTGTTAGCTTGAACTGTGTTCTAGAGAGATAGTCCATGCTGTTTAGTTACAGTTGTTTTCACTCAGGTGCTTAGTTGTGTCTTAGCGAGGTGGTTCAAGAAAGGGGTTTGTCAATGAAAAGCAAACACTTTGTCAACATTTTTTTTAATATTAAAAAAAAAAAAAAAAAAAAAAAAAAAAAAAAAAACACAGATTCGATTGTCAGTCCCTTGGAATTTGTGTTAACTAGATTTTACTGTAATTACTTGTAACTTTTCCTTGCTGTGAGAGCTCCTCTTTCCTTCTCATTCTTTTCCTTCTTCATCTGCATTTGCTCTTAGAGGGGCAGTTGGTACACTGTTTTATGGTCTACTGCTAGGCTAAGATATCTACATCTTTCAACCTAACACATCGAGCTTCAGCAAAACTGTAATTAGTTGCCTTGATATGTCATGCGTTATTTAGGAGCAGTGGGTTTCCAGAACCTACACAGTTGTTTGCGTATCCTTTACAGGACGTTGCAGAACTAACCCCAGCATGTTTGTGTGTGTGGCTGTTGGGTTTTTTTTAAGGCATATTTTACATTCAGTAGATTGTCATTGCTTTCTGAATGGTCATCTCTAAGTACCACTGTTGAAACCAACACAAGACAAACCGTTTGCAGCTGGGATCAAACCCTGCACCCCAGCATTACGAAGCGTATTCGCAGTGCCTAAGACACAGACACCAACCGATCTGACTACTGTTGCTGAATTTTTAAATATTTTTATTTATTTGTGATAAATTATATTGCACCTCATTACTGGTATCATGAGGGCTATTAGGCTGCGATGTTTGTGGCATGTAGAGGCAATGTCAAATAGCAGAGACAAAAACTGTGCACATAAAAGAGCTGAATGGGAATAGACCATGAAAATGGTGGGCAGATAATATACAGGCAGATGTACATACACAAGTCACCAGCTGGAAAGAGACAGCCAGTCAGAAAGATGAATCAAACCAGGTGATATCTGCAGCAATGAACAAAAAGGCTCAGAATGTTGAAGAAGGAGAAAACAAATGTATATTATATAATAATTTTTCTCATCTTCTTTTAGGAAATAGAACAAGTTGATGAGATACAAAGGAGGTTTAAAATGAGAAGGTAATGCTTTTTCCTAATTATTTAACAAAATAGGTTTTGTTCTGTAATATTTGTTTGATTTCACGTAGAGCCACATCCCAATGTCTGTTAGATTTCTAGTAGGCTTTTGCTGTTGACAAATTGTGTTGTGGTTTACAGCTGAGCTATGATATCTGCGCCTTTCTGCCTAGAGCATCTGATTTCATCAAAACCATAATTAGTATCCTTTTATGCCATGCTTGTTTTTTTAGGAAGTGGGTCTGTTCTTTTTTCATTAAAAGTGGGAGACAGAAACCCACACAAAAATAATGGAGAGATTTGTAGTGTAGGTTTTGTAGTGTATGTTTAATTTAATCTACAACTTTAATTTGAAGTATATAGTGTCTGTTTCATTCCATATAATCTTAGTTTGATATATATAGTTTCTTTTTAATATAGTAATTGTTTTAGATTTATAGTGTCAGTATCATTTCATGTAGATTCATAGTTTGGGTTATGTAGTGTGTGTCATGTAGAGTCATGGTTGGGACATATAGTGTCAATTTCATTTCATATAGAGGCATAGTTTGGGACATATAGTGTCAATTTCATGTCATGAAGAGTCATGGTTTGGGACATATAGTGTCAATTTCATGTCATGAAGAGTCATGGTTTGGGACATATAGTGTCAATTTCATGTCATGAAGAGTCATGGTTTGGGACATATAGTGTCAATTTCATGTCATGAAGAGTCATGGTTTGGGACATATAGTGTCAATTTCATGTCATGAAGAGTCATGGTTTGGGACATATAGTGTCAATTTCATGTCATGAAGAGTCATGGTTTGGGACATATAGTGTCAATTTCATGTCATGAAGAGTCATGGTTTGGGACATATAGTGTCAATTTCATGTCATGAAGAGTCATGGTTTGGGACATATAGTGTCAATTTCATGTCATGAAGAGTCATGGTTTGGGACATATAGTGTCAATTTCATGTCATGAAGAGTCATGGTTTGGGACATATAGTGTCAATTTCATGACATGAAGAGTCATGGTTTGGGACATATAGTGTCAATTTCATGTCATGAAGAGTCATGGTTTGGGACATATAGTGTCAATTTCATGTCATGAAGAGTCATGGTTTGGGACATATAGTGTCAATTTCATGTCATGAAGAGTCATGGTTTGGGATATATAGTGTCAATTTCATGTCATGAAGAGTCATGGTTTGGGACATATAGTGTCAATTTCATGTCATGAAGAGTCATGGTTTAGGACATATAGTGTCAATTTCATGTCATGAAGAGTCATAGTTTGGGACATATAGTGTCAATTTCATTTCATGTAGAGTCATGCTTTGGGACACAAGGTGTCAGTTTTATGTCATGTGTAGTCATAGTTTGGGACATGTAGTGTCAGTTTAATGTCTTGTAGAGAGAGAGAGAGTTTGGATAATATAGTGTCAGTTTCATGTCATGTAGAGTCATGGTTTGGGGCATGTATTGTCAATTTCATGTCATTTAGAGTCATAATTTAAAACATTTAGTTTCAGTTTCTTGTCATGTGGAGACATAGTTTGGAACATCTAGTGTCAGTTTCATGTCATTTGGAGTCCTAGAAACATATTACAGAATCCCTTTTTATGCATTCATAAAATAGATGCTGATTTGATCCAACCCATTACCATATATTTTACAGTGTATTTTTGTCACTCCAGCACACTGGAAATATTTTACAGTGTATTTTGTCACTCCAGCACACTGGAAATATTTGACAGTGTATTTTGTCACTCCCAACACAAACAGGAATTTTGCCATGTTATTTAAGTTGAAGTGAATTATGAACCAATATCCCAGCACTCAGGACATTTCAGGAAACACTCTTGTCCTCATCTTCAGCAGTCAGCACAGAGTTCCAGTTTTGATGGTACTAGTGCATTCTTTGTGTATGTCTGTCTTTCCCTTCCATTGGTCAGTCCCAGTGGCACCATTCTTTTCGGTCTGTGATGATGTTTTTGTACTTCCGCACTGTTCATTCGATAGCCAAGGGCCTTGACGACGTTTAGCTTGTTTTGTAAAGTGTTGCATCTGTGCATACATGATTTGTCTGTTAAATAGAGTGTGTTATATCTGTGCATACATGATTTGTCTGTTAAATAGAGTGTGTTATATCTGTGCATACATGATTTGTCTGTTAAATAGAGTGTGTTACTTCTGTTCATACATGATTTGTCTGTTAAATAGTGTTATATCTGTGCATTCATGATTTGTCTGTTAAATAGTGTTATATCAGTGCATACATGATTTGTCTGTTAAATAGAGTGTGTTACTTCTGTGCATACATGATTTGTCTGTTAAATAGAGTGTCTTATATCTGTGCATTCATGATTTGTCTGTTAAATAGAGGGTGTTACTTCTGTGCATACATGATTTGTCTGTTAAATAGAGTGTGTTACTTCTGTGCATACATGATTTGTCTGTTAAATAGTGTTATATCTGTACATACATGATTTGTCTGTTAAATAGAGTGTCTTATATCTGTGCATTCATGATTTGTCTGTTAAATAGAGGGTGTTACTTCTGTGCATACATGATTTGTCTGTTAAATAGTGTTATATCTGTGCATACATGATTTGTCTGTTAAATAGTGTTATATCAGTGCATACATGATTTGTCTGTTAAATAGAGTGTGTTACTTCTGTGCATACATGATTTGTCTGTTAAATAGAGTGTCTTATATCTGTGAATTCATGATTTGTCTGTTAAATAGAGGGTGTTACTTCTTTGCATACATGATTTGTCTATTAGTGTGTTATATCTGCATACATGATTTGTCTGTTAAATAATGGGTGTTAAATGTGTGCATACATGATTTGTCTGTTAAATAATTGGTGTTAAATGTGTGCATACATGATTTGTCTGTTAAATAAATGGTGTTAAATGTGTGCTTACATAATTTGTCTGTCAAATAAAAGGTATTGCATCTGTGTATACTCTGTTTCATCCAGCCGAGTTCTTCCACCACTTGGGAATTAGTCTTCACAATGACGGAAACAGACCATCATAGTCAAATGAGAAGCGTAAGCCGCGGTGATGGTTCGCCAGGTAGGCCTTCAGGTCGCCCCATGCGCCAGCTGGAGTTTCATCAGGTACATTACATTTCTCAGATTTTTGGATATTCTTTAAAGCCTTGATTGTATTTTCAGTGCATTTGCCAGATTTCCAGTGTGAGCACTTTTGACACCCATTTTCAGCTCTTATGGTTTTCAGTATTTATGAGGCAAAATCAAATAAAACTCATCTCTGTGGTCTTTATATACAATTCTTGATATTTATCAAGCCTTTAGTGCTGATCTGTCACCATTTAACTTTGATTTGTTCAGGCCCTTAAAAGGTCCTGAAGATAGGGTTCTAAACTAACACAGATGTCATGACAGTGGTGAATAAATGCTTCAGTAAGGGACCTTTTTCCACGCTTCCAAGCGTATTTGGCATACAGGGCTAGACCTGTATTTCATAGACCAATTTTCCTGGATGGGTGATGTGGTCAGCATTACACCTGTCACCTTTTCTTCCCAGGATTGTACCTGGTATACACTCTATGCTGGGTTGACCTGATAGTCAGGGTCACAATACCCGAACCCATGACCTTCCGATCCGCAGGAGAGTGTCTAGCCATTACACCATGGTAGCTTTCAAATGCTGCAGTGAGAAATCAAAATCTTTCTTTTAGGAGGACATTATGGCCATCTTATAAAGTTGCAGGATGCAAATCCCAGCGATTACGGTGACCTCTTCTTGCAACCCTGGATGTATGCTTGTTGCTTTGTTTAATTCTCAAATTTTGGCTAATATGTACATTTGTAAGAAAACCAGTGGGAAGGTTTCATTTGATTGTACCTTGTCTGTTTTTATACTTACAATGACGTCAGAAGGTCTAAGAAGAAGAAGAGATTTCGGTGCTGTTCATGACAGGATATTGTCGCAGCCACTCAATATGTCGAGTCGCAGTTCGCTCGATACAGACAAATTTCCTGGAATAGACTCACACCCCTGTGACCCGAGAAGAGTCCAAGAAGCTATAAATGAAAGGTCAACGTCACGGATATCGTGAACACCTTCGAGATTTAATTTGATTGTACCTTGTATGTTTTTGTTCTCATATTGACATCTGAAAGTGTAAGAAGAAGAAAAACTGTCTGAGGATCCCGGAGCTGGTCATCCCTTGAGACACTGAGTTCAGAAACCATGAAGTGGGGAAAAAATTAAACAGACCCATCTGTCCTTGTACTGCCATGCTGAAAGCCCCTGGTCATCTGTGTAGGCAAAGTATTTCAGGATCCTCGCCGGTGCTACAGAGCCTGTATACTGTCCTAAGCTTCTTGGGACTCAGACTTGAGTTAGAAAAAGAACTGAGAACTTATGGGTTACACCTATGTGCCATGATGTTGATCCGTTGTTCAAAACCTCAAAATGTAGGCAGTTTCATATGAAACTGTAGTAGGTAACTGAAATCACAGGTCTGCAGTCTGCCTCCTGCTAGCTTCTAAAGATGTAACCCTAAAGACTGAGAGGTTCAGTATACAGAAGTGAGGCTGTCATAACCACTTTGTGATGATTTGGGTTAGCCAAGCACCAGAGCACCATTTATTAGCTCAGCATTTATGGAAGCCTTCTTGGATGGTGGGGAATACTTATGTTCGGCTCCTGCCTTCATTGCATGGCCTTTCTGGACTGGTGTGGTGGGGGCATTACCTATGAACAAGATGACCACACAACAGTGAGACAGCAGTGTCCCATGAAACTTAACTAACCTGAGCAACAAATGCATGCAGAAGTCAAATGTGTCAGCTGATTGGTGCAGATATCGCAGACATGTTGTAAACTGTCACTTAGCAATTTCTTCTTCGGATGAACGCAGAAGAAGAAGAAGTATCTTCTTGTAGGCCTGAACCTGCATGTATTAATTCTCTTCAAGTCTTGAACAACAGATATCTCAGAGATTTGAAAACTTTTTCATGACTCGATTTTCCAGGCAATGTCCGACTTCTGTCACATGTTTCCTGAGACTGACGAAGAAGTGATTGAGGCTGTACTGAGGGCCAATAATGGCATGGTGGACGCGACCATTGACCAGCTACTGACCATGAACATTGACACAGAAATCAATGCTGGTGATGATGATGATCTGCCTGACCATATTCTGATGTCTGTAGAGAGAGATGTACAACAGCAGCAGCAGCTGCAGCCTCAGCAGCCACATCAAGGCTCTCGTAGATTGGGCAGAGAGGCTCGAGCAACTAGGGTGAGTCCTTTGAGCTTAATTCTCCTTTCTAGCTCCCTATAGAGATTAGATTGTGAAGACAGATGTAATAGTAATATCAAAGAAAAAAAATAGTGCCCTTATCCATATAAATAAAAATGTAACACGTCTGTTTGCACATAATAGCTGATTTCCGAAAGTTCTTCTTCGATTGTTTCAAATTGTGACACAACATTGCATTTGAATAAGCGCAGTTTTTAATATATGATTTTCACACAAAGCACGAAATACAAAGCTCCAGCGACGATCACATCGGCATCTTGGTTTGTTTTCATTGCCACATTGCTGTTTTTTATTTCAATGGACTTTGACTGGTGACCTCAGATATCTGCATATAATAAATTGACGACCATTTGTTGACAGAATGAATGGAAATTTAACGACCGGTTTGACAGAATGTATGGAAATTTAAAGGTGTGAGAATATAAACAAATTGGAATTAAAAGTTGTGGGAATATAAACAAGTTAGAATTAAAAGTTGTGGGAATATAAAGATAGTTGTTGACAGAATATATGGAAATTTAAAGGTGTGGGAATATAAACAAGTTGGAATTAAAAGTTGTGGGAATATAAGCAAGTTGGAATTAAAAGTTGTGGTAATATAAACAAGTTGGAATTAACAGTTTTGGGAATATGAACAAGTTGGCATTAAAAGTTGTGGGAATATGAACAAGTTGGCATTAAAAGTTGTGGGAATATAAAGACAGTTGTTGACAGAATGCATAGAAATTTAAAGGTGTGGGAAAATAAATAAGTTGGAATTAATAGTTGTAGGAATATAAAGACAGTTGTTGACAGAATGCATAGAAATTTAAAGGTGTTGGAATATAAATAAGTTGGAATTAATAGTTGTGGGAATATAAAGTAAAGACAGTTGTTTACAGAATGTATGCGAATGAAACGGCACACCGCCATTGTGCATGACGTTGCGTTCACATGACCATAAAGTTTTGAGTTGATGGACGCGTGGTGGTAAAACAGACGGTAGTGACATTAGTTGTTGTGGTGGTGGTAGTAGTTGTTCTGGTACTTGATGGATGATTTGGTAAATATTACACTGGCCGCATTTACTTCTCATTACCATTCCTGCTACCCATTTTAGTCTGGGTGGACACGGATGCCAAGGTCAGTTATTAAAATTTTTGTCAGGTGATAAATTTCAAATCCTACGGAGAGGGGCAGAAGTAGTCGGTGGATTGGGTGGAGGCGGGTGATTGCAGAAACTGTTAACTGAGAGAGCTTAAAACATTATTTTATAGTTTTTATTTCTTACTTTGTTTATATTTTAATAATGTTACCTCAGCTATTCTCATTTTTATTTATAAAGATTTTTTAAAATAGCCAATTAGTTAGTTATTTAGAAGTACAGTAGTAAGCTTTACTTGCAGCTCTTTAAAAAATACAAACAGCTTTAGCATGTGACAGAGAATTAATCTTTTTTTTGGGTCCTAAAAATACAATTGACACAACCAGACAATGCACAGACAATGATTGTGAAATTAACCATAATAGAGACGTGCTGTTTCTATTTTTTTTCTATTCCATTTAGCCAAACTAAGCCACAGCAACTCGGGGCCTGGTACAGCCAGTGTATAATAAAAGTCAAAGGCATTTTTTTAGGACTAGCACATAAATTTTCATATTTAGGCACATGGATAACATTCAATAGAAGATGCATCACAGAGATAAAGAACAGATAAGGACGTTTTATAAAATGAGCATTTCATACAATAAATCTTAGTCTTTGGAGGTTAGAAAAGAATTCCCACATGCTATATAGAGCCAGTTTTAATATGTGGCTGTGAATCCTGGACAATTAATAAACAAGCCAGACAATTTCTTGAGGCCTCAGAGATGGGGTTTTACAAAGAATCCTTAGAATTCCTTGGGCAACCAAAAAGAGAAACCTGGATATTTTGAAAGAGACGAAGGATCGAAAACAACAAACATCAGAAAGAGACAGTCATCATTTTTTGGTCATGTTATGAGAAAGAGGAAACTGGAACATGTTGTGACCATTGGAATGATCTGTGTTTAAAAAAAAAAGGCAATGTGAGATGATTCTTGACAACCTTTTATCAAGGCATGTTGGAATGTCAGCACATGAATTGGTACATGCTGTTAAAGATTGCAGATTGTGGAGAGGCATGATTGCTGAGGCCAGTCAGCGAGACACTAGATGATGATGATATTAGAGATTAGGCCCTCGGATTAAAGCCAACCAATTGTAAACTTGTTTGTGATTATCATATTCTTTATCACCCCCCCCCCCCCCCCCCCCCCCCCCCCCCCCCCCCGCCCCCTTCAAAATGTGGCCATGGAATGCACTGACAGGAAAGTTACGGAATCTTCTCCTTCTGCATTCACCCTTAGAAGAGTGGTTGTGATTTACAGCTAGGCTGTTAGGTCTGCAACTTTCAGCCCAGTACATCCCATTTCAGCAAATATTTCATTAGACATGTTTTGCAGCATGTTTGTTAAGGAGCAGTGGTTCTGTTTTAATTCTCCCCTCCGACCTTCCCCTCCCCTCCAGAAATGGGACTCCAGAACTCACACAGCTTAGGAATCAGCTGGGAATGGATAAAAATGGACTCAGATGTTACCATATTGGATATTTCTCATTATACGTTCTATGTAAATGTAAAAGTATTGGTAGAGAATGCCAGCCTGTCTAACTTCCTAATGCACTTCAAACCAGTTTAATGATTCACAGCCTGTTCTGATAGCAGCTTGTTGTTCGTAACATGACTCTTCAGTTAAGTGGGTCAGACTATACACACTACAAATGTGTCAGCAAATAGGAATGCCTGAACTAAATAGTAGAAAAATAAACAACGTAGAGAATGCAGATAACACAGTTTTACTGGCAGATAGTGAGCAGATGCGAGTAAATAAGTAAAGTGCAGAATTTGGATTCAGTAAAGAAGATAGGAAACTTGAAACCAGTAATTGACACTGCAAAAGAGAGGCTTCTTCTTCTTTTGTCCTACTGTTTATGCCGCAATGCATTGCAGGGAGGAGTTATATGTAGTTTCCTGTCTTTTGCTAGTTGTATAGCTTGTGTTAATGTCATTTGCCTTTTTTTCTAGTGTCCCTTTTACCCCTTCCACCCCTTTCTTTCTTGGTCAGCCTCTTGCCATGTAGCCTGCTTCTCTTATGTAGTATGCTTTAGCTGCTGGCTGATTTAGTTCCATTCTGACCAGATGATCAAACCATTAGATTTTTTGATGTTCTGTGAAATCATTCACCAGTACTGTGCCTTCTAATGTTTTTAGTTCTTCATTGGTGACTCTTCTTGTTTTCTCCCGCCGCATTTCTCATACCTCAAGTATTTGTAATTTTATGTTTATGTTTTCCTAGGACTATCCATATCCGACATTTATAGCACAAAGTTGGTATGAATAGCGCATTAATCAGCTGCTCTTGTGCAATGTTGAAATTTTGATGCCTCAAAAGTGGCGCTGTTTGGTAATTTATGTTGTTGGCCTTCTGTTTTCTATATCTCTGTCCAACTTTCTATAACTCTGTCCAGTCCTCCACCCTCTGTCAGTACATTGAGAAGACCAAGAGTAACTATCCAAACCAAGCAGCAGAATAAACTAACAAGTCATTAGTTTCTTGGACATGTAATAGCTTTTGGCGCACAAGCGAACCATAAGACAAACAGAGAAAAGAAATCGCCAAAGCACAAACATGAAAGAAAAAAATAATTTAATAGCTAGTGGGATATAAACAAGCACTGAGCATTAGAATAAAGTGTTATATTTTTGCTACACGAGATGCCCCCATGTAAAAGACGATCCCTTTTTTCTTAATGCTTAAAATTAAAAAATAAATATTTTAAACACATTCTGCATTTAAGACGACCCCACCACCCCAAATGTTAAACTAAAAAATTTAGGAAAATATAGTTAATACTGAAAACTAATTTATGTAGCTGAATTTTAGATAGCAAAGAAAGAATTAATCAGATTGAGGCTCTGAAAAAATATATACTTCATCTACGTGTGCCCTTAAAAGGGCAGATGATACATTGTGTTGGGATTTACATCAGAGCTCTGATATCAGCAGTGCTGCTAGTTATACTTTTTATGAACAAGCCACTATAGCAAGTCAGTAAAGTGTAATTTACGGGGATCAGATCCAACCAGAAGTTACGGTTTTTTGGCATTTCGGAGCAAAAAGGTTAAGCACCGACGACACATCAGTAAACAAATACAAGTAAAAATTATGAGAGTTTGCATCTGTACTATGACAACATACTGATGTGAATCATGGACATTTCACAGTCATTCTTTATCGCCCTCAGTTTTACTTTTGCCACTAAGCATCATGGGGAAGAATAGTTTGCGATGGGCAGCATCTGCTATTGTCATTCCGTGTTGATATGTTATGTTAGTTGCGTATCCTTTACAGGATGTTGCAGAACCAACCCTCAGCCCCTGGCTGTTGTGTGGTTTCTCTAGGCAATTTACATCCAGTAGTTTGCCATTGCTTTCTGGACGGTCGGCTTTCTTGATACCACTGTCGAAACCAACGCAAGGCGCATTGCCCGCAGCTGGGATCGAACCTGGCATCCCGGCATTACGAAGCGAAGCGTTCGCATCGACTTAGCCACAGAGCCGACCGTGTTGATATAGAAGGTCTTAAATGTCATCATTCGATCTTCTCCTAGCCCAGCCTTTTGCTTTCACATGAGATATTTTCATGTAATGCCTGTGTTGGTAGTTGTTGTAGCTTCATCCTGATGAGACAGCCAGACCAGGTCTGTCTGATATTGTCATTTCTCATTTTGTCTTTGCAATTATACTTATATATGGATGTCCTAATACTGGCGTCAGTTCGTATATAAGTGCACTGGCTCAGTGGCATCATGTTTCTATTTGTCAACCTATTCTCCCTTTACTGAGAATGTACTTCTTAGATATTTATATTCTTTGACTTGCTTCAGACAAGTACCATTCAACCCTATATGTAGCAGATTATGAATTCTACTGTCCTGCATTACTTCATTTTTAGTTATGTTTACTGTTATTTTATTTCTTATGCATTTTGAACAGCTTTTTTAAATGATCTTGTTTCACAGTTACCAAAGAAGAAAATAGAGGATTTGTAACTTTCAGTTCTTTTAATACCGTAGATCAAGAAGAAATTATACCATATGTAATCAGCAAAGTAAACTAACTCATAGATAGAAATTGGTTTCAGGAACCGCGATACTTTGGCAATATTAGTTTGCTTATCAGAAATAAAAGACATGTTTCATGGAAGAATAGACAGAGCTCAACCAAAACTGTGATTGACACAGAAGATTCCGTGAAGCAGGGAGGAGGTGACAGATTTTTCCAGTGGTTTGTGAGGGAGTAACATTCTGCTACATTTGGATAATTTGGACATCTTGATGACAGCACTGACCGTGATTCACAACCCATGTTTTGCTTCCCTATTTATATATTCTTCTGATGGACACTTGCAGTGATGAGTACACTGTAATGATATCATTTCATCACATGCCAGTGATATTAAATCAGTACACAGTAGTGATAATATTACAGTACATGGTAATGATAATACACAAAACGGTAAAGGGCCTTTACTTTTTAGGACTTTACCTGGTATCCATTTACATTTAAAGCTGGATTGACCTGGGAACCAAGGTCGCTGTTGAAAACAGTTCAGTCTCTGCTCATATTTGAACCCAGGACCATCCTATCCACAGGATAGCATCTAGCTGCTACACCACTGCGGTTCCCTTAATGATAATAGACAGTTGTAAAAATGTATCATTGGAAATGTTTGCATTGTGTTACCTTTTTCTAAAAATGTGGGGAACTGTATTGGCACTAGTTAGATCCTTGCTGTAATCTAGTTTCTGTTAAATATTTATTTTGTGTTACAGAAAGTATGCTCAACAGATTCCCCCGAACAGCAGCAATCAAAAGACATGGAAGACTGCCCACCATCTTACACTGAAGCAGTGCAGTCACACTTGACTAACCACCACCGAAGTAGTAACAGCCGGAGCCGCCATCGTAACTCACCCACCAGCAATGGAAATGGGGGACACCACCCTCGGCATTCTGTGGGCACCATGCAACACCTGTTAGACCTAGGTCCCGACACCACACAGAACCCTGGCAATGGCAGCCCCACTTCTGTGGGGTCAGCCGGCACCGTCTCCAAGCCGTCACATCACAGCCACCACCACACTAGTCATCATCACCATAACAATCACCACCACCAGAGATCTTCGAACCATCATCGCCATCGCACCGACACTGCCGATGGGTCTCCAGGAAAGTCCAGGCCTGGGAGGAATATTCTGGCCCCAGCTACTCTGCCAGCCCCTGCCCACCAGGAGTTTATCGCCGAAGAATTTAGTTTTCGCCCTCAAAGAAAAGGCTCATTGGATAGCAGTGAGGTCAGTGTGGAGGCCGGAGGAGGTTGCCATTCGGAGAAGAGTTCACACAGATGGCGGTCTTCAAACAGGGAGGTGAGTTTGTGTCATGCATTGGTGCTCCCTAATCTTTTAATCTCCGACAGTTAAATAAATGAATCATTATCACTGCAGTCAGGAAATTTCCAAACATACTGTGTACCTTTCTTTGGGTAGCCTAGGAAGTGTTCCCATTTTGATGGTGCCTGTTGCAACGTGCTTAAAGTAAGCCTATCTTTTCTCTTGAATTTGTTGGGAGTCATCCAGATCCTCTACTCACTTATTCAGTCTTGCTGGGAATAAACACGCTGTTCTACCACACTAAACTATATATATAACTTTGTGTATATAAACTAAAAAAAACCAGGATGTCTTTGCACTGGAACCCACAGGAGCATAGAAAAAAAGGAAGACCAAAAAACACATGGAGAAGGGAGCTAGAGAGTGAATTAAAAAAAAGAAGGGGAGAGTTGCATGTGATAGTGAAAGACAGAACGACTTGGCGTGAGTTGGTTGCGGGCCTAGGCTCAATTGTAGGGTAGGAGGCAGAAGAAGAAGACTGCACTATCCATGTGATCTGTTGAGTTTTGCCTGCACATCCGTTTTACAGATCAGGCTCTGCATTGGTATGCAGACTGCCTTTCAGGTTCTGTGCCTGTCGGGCAGATGCACTCTGACTTTGAAGGAAGCAGCCACTTATGAGCCGCCTCCTGTGATACGCTTGTTGTGTGGGGGGGGGGGGGGATGGCACTGTTCTTTGCTCACCAAAATGGAGCCCTGGAACCCACATGAGAAAAAAAAAAGGTATTCACAAAATTTAGCACAGAGATCATTAAGCCATAGGAGGTGAGTTTGTTTGTTTGTTTTAGTATCCAGAAGACATGAGTTGTTAACCCTTAGGCTTGGTATTATGGATATCACAACCTTTCGGCCTTGATTCCATTGTAAATACCGTAAATCTGGGAGAAATGTGGCTTTTCTGCCTACCCCCGGGAGTGAACCTGGATCACAAGGAGTTCGTCACCCGGTCACCGCGCAATCCGGTTTAGCCAACTATGCTAGAGAGCCTGGCAGGAGGTGAGCTTAGAACTGGCATCACAGCATTAAAGACATTTTCATAATGGATACATCCCCATTCCAGATTTCCAGTACTAATGGCACAAGTGGCACCATGTCTGTCTTGACTTTCCTCTGAGTATCGGCCAGATCTCCTTGCCACTCCCCGCTGCATTATTCTCTCTCAACTTTGGTGATCTGTTCTTTCCTCCACATTGTTCACCTGCTGCTCCCAAAAAGGACTTGACTACATCTTCTTTGTCATGAATCGGTCCACCACCAGGTGGGGCAGAGAAGGATGGCATGATGTTGTCTGTCTTCACTTTCCTCTGAGTATTGGCCAGATCTCCTTGCCACTCCCCACTGCACTAATCTCTCTCAACTGTGGTGATCTGTTCTCTCCTCCACATTGTTCACCTGTTCCTCCCAAAAAGGACTTGACTACATCTTCTTTGTCATGAATTGGTCCACCACCAGGTGGGGCAGAGAAGGATGGCATGATGTTGTCTGTCTTCACTTTCCTCTGAGTATTGGCCAGATCTCCTTGCCACTCCCCACTGCACTAATCTCTCTCAACTGTGGTGATCTGTTCTCTCCTCCACATTGTTCACCTGTTCCTCCCAAAAAGGACTTGAATACATCTTCTTTGTCATGAATTGGTCCACCACCAGGTGGGGCAGAGAAGGATGGCATGATGTTGTCTGTCTTCACTTTCCTCTGAGTATTGGCCAGATCTCCTTGCCACTCCCCACTGCACTAATCTCTCTCAACTGTGGTGATCTGTTCTCTCCTCCACATTGTTCACCTGTTCCTCCCAAAAAGGACTTGACTACATCTTCTTTTTTATGAATCGGTCCACCAACAGGTGGGGCAGAGAAGGATGGCATGATGATGATGATGACATCACTCTTTGAGCAGTTGTTAATACATTGTCCTGTTGAGCCATTATGTGTCACATAGGGCTCGCACTCTTTTTTTTCCCATTCTCTTCTATCCTGTGCAATCACTTCGATATAGATGAAACCAGCCCAGTGGCTTAAGAATTTGTCCCTATTTGACCAGTCACTGGTTAACTGGCGTATCATAGAGACACTCTAATTTTGTTCCGTTTGTGGGGAAAATGAACTTTTATGAACAAGTTTTTTGGAAACTAAGGATTAGCAACGGGAAGTCCTTTGTTTGCAATGTTCCGCCTGGCTTTTGCATCATTTTCTTATTAAAAAGAATTATTTAGATGTGTTACAATTTTTACGGGATTTTTCTATACTAAATGATAAGGGAAAAGGTCTAGAACTGTTCATACTACTCTGTCGTTGATGAATCTCTGCCTTGCTTTTATGATTGATATCTAAGTGCCAAAGCAATTGGCAATAATTTAGTTTAGGATATGAAAATTTAACGAAATATTTCAATTGTGTCAATGTTTCAATCAGCTGTTTTCCCAAAGTATTTAAAATAATTGTTTCAAATAAAGACTAGCTGATACATAATTGAAAAGAGAAGGCATGTAAATTTTAGAATTGAATAGCAGTGTTGTTGAACAAGTAAAAAATAAGGTAAGCACACCATTTTTTATGTCAATAGTTTTCATATGTGTCTAAGATCCTTGAATGTTATGTGATTTTAATAATATTTTGTTGTAATTAATACTGACACTTAAATATTTAAATTGATTCTGCACTCATTTATCTTTAATTTGATTTGTCCTGATACAGCCAATACTTTTTCTTTAGGAAGGTTTAAGCTTTGTCGTGTTGCAGTAAACAAAATTCTGCTCAAAATTAATGCTGTCCTAACCCCAGATTATTTTCCTTTATTCACATGAGATTATTTTCCTTTCCTCACATGCTAGTGTGCCTTTAGGAGCCATTGTAGTGTAGAGACTAGATGGTTGCTTTTACATGGGACCCGACCTCCTCCGTGTGGGTTCCAGGGCCCCATTGTGGGGAGAACAAGAATTGACCCACTGTCTCCCTAACAAGTATGTCGTAGGAGTCGACTAATTAAGGTTTTTCTTGGAAGTCGGAGTGCATCTGTCTGAGAGGCAGGGAACCAACAGACTGCATGCAGATAAGCCAGATCTGTAAAATGGATGTGCACACACCATTCAAGTTCTGGAACAGGAATAAAGTCCACAAATGGACATACAGCCAGAATTTTCAGCTGGAGTTTACAGCCGGTTAAATCAAAAACGAAGAAGAAGACCCAGCCTTAAATGGATCCATGACAGGGCCTGAGAAGTAAAGATGACCAGAATGAGGTTGACTGATTAATCTGTAAAATTACAGGCCTGACACCGTATGCCTGGTGCATTTCTGACACGTAAAGTATCTCTAGGATAATGATGATTTTCTGATGCTAACGCAATTGTGTGACCTGGGAGTAAAGCACGGTAGAGCTCGTCTGTGCAGCCTTTAGTGCTGAGATAGGAAACATAATCAGCTTCTCATGGGAACTACCAGTAGAGGTACCTTGGAGTGGCTCCTGCATCATAGGACTGGGAATGTACAGTGACATTGTGATGACATAAAGGGTCTGTTATTTACTTACTTTTACTAAGATAACTAAATTAACACCCTATTTTATTTGTTCATGTTTTCAGTCAACTAATATCAAGAGGCCAGTATACAAAAACTGGAATCCTCCACTTCTGGGAACTCTTCCTGACGATTTCCTGAGGTTGACTAAGACGCCGACAACACCAGCTCGACCCAGCAGACACACTTCTCAGTTACAAAGGTAGGGTGGCTTTTAGCTCATAAAACATGAGCTACTTTTGTTACACAGGTAGGGTGGCTTTTTAGCTCATCAGATGTGTGCTAGTTCATTTACACTGGTAGGGTGGCTTTTTAGCTCATAAGACGTGCGCTAGTTCACTTACACAGGTAGGGTGGCTTTTTAGCTTTTAAGACATGTGCTAGTTCAGTTACACAGTTAGGGTGGCTTTTTAGCTTTTAAGACATGTGCTAGTTCAGTTACACAGGTAGGGTGGCTTTTTAGCTCATGAGACGTGTGCTAGTTCAGTTACACATGTAGGGTGGCTTTTTAGATCATAAGACTGTGCTAGTTCAGTTACACAGGTAGGGTGGCTTTTTAGCTCATAAGACATGCTAATATTAGAAAAACAATATGTTTTTTCTGTTTCTTCTTCTGGCTGTAGACTCCTGTGGAAAGTTCTAGTTGTTCGTCCACTTCTGGACTTTGGTCTCGTTCCCGAACTCGAGTTTTGCATTCATATCTGTTTTACTAGTCTAGCTTATCTGTACACAGACCGTTGGTTTATGGCCTCTCAGGCAGATGCACTCTGTGGGTCTCTCCACACATGGAGCAGAAATCAGCTTACCTAATTTTAACTTTTGTGCCCAGGGAGTTCTTTTGCCAGAGTAGCAAAGATGGATATAGTTAAAAGTGAAGAAATTAGAAGTGTTGGGTCGAGCAGTACATCATACAGATTTCTGTGGTCACTTAGAATAAATTCCAGTCTCGAAGGGGTTTAGAACCAAGGATAACTGGCAGTGTTGCGGATTCTATAATCATAATATAAAGTTGTTTTAAAGAAATTTTGGTGCTTTCTTAATATCCTACCTTAAACAAGGGAAATCCAAAGGTCACAGAACAGTCTAACATTTCAATGGTTGGTAGAGAGGCTGCATGCAGTCATGGGACCTAGGCTGCATGCAGTCGTGGGACGCAGGTGGGTTGGGGTTAGGACAAGTTCTACATATTTTGGGGTCTTAAAAGCAACAGAAAGCTGGGAAACCCAGTCTTACCACCCTAAAAAATGTTGGAATGTCCTGTGATGTCAGCTTGATATTAGCAAAGAACTGAAACTATCCAGATTGAGCTAGGCTTATTTAATGTACACCATAGAATTTTCGGTGAGGTCAGGTGGCCAGTAGAGGATGACAGCATCCTCCTTGAATGTTGGTTTCATCTTTTAATGTCTTCTTCTTCTGCATTTGCCCTCAGAAGACATTATGCATGTTGTGTTGTGGGTTACAGCTTAGCTGTGATATCTGCTTCTCTTGGCCTAACACATTCACTTTCAGCAAACTCTTAAATAGTCACCTTTTATGGCGTGCTTGTTAAAAGGTCAGAGGATCTATTCCCCCGTCCCCCCCCCCCCCCCCCCCCAGTTTCCCCAATGAGGTTCCAAAACATGCACATAGGGATCTTGAAATATGAGTTATAACCCTGTTTTGGTTTGTAATTTGCATCGTTTTGAACCCCATCATCATCAAGACCCTGGCCACTGGCGTGGGGAGGGGGGGGGGGGGAATCATGCCTCTCCACAACCAGTGATCAGCAACTGCGTGTATCAGTTGGTGTGTTGACACCCCTCTAGGCCATGACAGAATAATCTGTATGGCTTTTTGTTGTGGTTGCCCTCTGTCCCAGGAATTCTAAGGATTCTTTTGTAAAACCACATCTCCAAGCCCTCACAAAATTGGATTTTCAATTATTGTCCAAGACTCACAGCCGTTAACTTTAAAAATTACTGGGATGGCATGGCAGCAGAGTCGTTTATATTTATTGTTGTAATAATTTTCTGATATAATAATGTCTTTAGTTCTTTGCCATCTATTTTTTTTTCCTGTTCTTTCAGAACTATGTCGGCAGTAGGACCAGAACGCCCTGCTTTCTACCCTACAGCTTCATCACCATCCAACCTTCCCACCATCGATTCAGGTTCCTCTTTGGCAACAAGTCAGCACATTAAGCAGAGGCCGTCATCTCAGAAGCCTCATCGTTCGTTGTCCTTTGCTGGGCACACCAATCAGCTGAAAAGACCCCCTCAGAATGCACAACAGTCTGTAAGTTAGATGTGCCAGAGTTGTGTACACGTAGTATAAGCAAGTGGTTTTTGTAGTGGCCAAGACAGCATGCAAGTATTGCATAGAATCATGGATGTAGAGCGCTGGGAGGGCACTAAACAAAATCCAGTGGATCAGGAGGTGAAGAAAAGATGCTGGCATTGGAAATGACATGTTGACAAAAACTGAGGGCAGTATAACTAGAATCTCTTTACACTGGAATCTATATAGGCAGTGAAATGAATACAGACCCAAAAAAAAGCATACAAAGGAGGGAGCTAGAGTGTGAAGTTAAAAGAATGGAAAGGACATAGGGTGAGCTGCTTGCGATAGCAAAGGACATGCCAACATGATATATGAGTTGTTTGAGGGATAGGCTGTTTTGGGGGATAAATGGCTGAAGGAGAAGAGAAGACAACATAAAAATACATAGTATGTTTATTTCACCCTGTTTCTTATTCACTTCAGCATATAATATTATGTTTCTCTCTGTTTCTTTTGTCCTGTTTTACCCCCCCCCCCCCTTTTCCCCCCTCCCCTCCCCCCAAAATACTAATTAAACTATTAGATAGTTTTCTCAGAATATTTAGTGAATACTTGTGATATCATACTTGCAGTTATGATAATATTGGAGACAACATACAAATAGCCAATATGTTTATTACACTAGTGTGTTAATTAATCAGACCAATAAGGCAGGGCTATTCAACTAAGTTTACTCGCGGGCCAAAATGTTGAAAATTGGGATCGTCGCGGGCCAGTGGCCCAAACCAAGTGTGGGAAGATTATCAACACTATAGTCGAGGAAACTGTAGATGTGTAAATTTAATACACTCCAAGACGGTTACGCCTAGGCGCCCTAGGGCCTAGCCTACGGTAATATAAATGAAACAGTTTTGTAAACCATTATAATGTAAAATGTACTACAATCTTTTGTAATGATTAAAAAATACTCACTTTTAATTGAAATACACGTATTTCCAACTTGTTGTTTGAATAATAAATGAACGTTTGCATCAGTCACTTCAGTTGCATTGTCACAATAAAAATAGTAGTACAGTTAATAATAACTGTCCCCAGTTCGTTTCATATGGCTTTGTACAGAAGAACCGAAAGCAATAATGGGGCAAAATTTAATTAATGGGAAAAGTTGCATTTCCGTTTTTGAGCTAATTTTATAAAATTTGGTTGGTGAGAAGTCAGAGTAATTCTCATGCAATCCTGCAGCCTGTCATTGCTCAGTGAGCTCCGACTGTTTGTCTTGATGACGTTCATATGTGAAAAGCTTGATTCACAAGTGAAAGTTGAACCAAACATGGTGAGTATGAAAACGGCAACCTTTCTAGCACTAGGAAACTGCTCCTGTTGAATCGTTTCGGACCAAAACTTGACGGTACCACTTTCTTGAAAACCTTCATTCAGTGCGCTGGAACTTTGGATATCCACAAGTTCTAACTGCAGAGAACCTTCATTAACAGAGGGTAACAGCTTTTTAGCATTCGAAGAAAAATCACCCGCAGGGGGAATTTTAAAAGGATCTTGAACGAAAAACATTACATTGTTTGGGATACTAAAGTCTTCAAATCTGTTGTTGAAATTGTTCTGAAGCTTTTTTAATAAATCTATCATTCGATTAGTTATGGTTGCTGAGTCCAGTGTTGAAGAAATAAAATCCTTCAAGTTTGGGAAATGAAGAAATTTGGCTGTTTGGAGATCCGTTACAAACAAAACTAGCTTATCTCGAAAAGCGTTCAATTTTTCAACCAGATCAATGATTGTCTTGTGTCTTCCTTGCAGTTGCAAGTTCAGTGTGTTCAAATGAGCAAACAAATCGTTTAAAAAGCAAACATTTGCCAAAAATGCACTGTCACGTAATACTTTCCTATACTTTTCTGCCTTATTATGGGAACAGTTTCCAAGAAAACATATTATTTCGTCTTTGATTCTCCAAAAACGATCAAGTGCTTTCCCTTTACTCAGCCAACGAACATCATTATGCAGAAGTAAGTCTTTGTAATCTGCTTCCGTTTCTTCAAGTAACTGCCGAAATAACCTGTGCTGAAGACTTGATGAAGATCGAATGAAATTTATTATTTTCATCACCATATCCATTGTTTCCTTCATCTCGTCGCTCAGTTTGCTGCACAGAACACTTTGATGGATAAGACAATGTAGCGACTGCATCTGAGATGCTACTGCAGAAAGTCTTGCGGTCACACCTTGGTGCTTACCTAGCATTGACGGCGCTCGTCCGTTACCAATAAACAAATTTTTTTCAAATCAAGTCCATTTTCTGTAAAAAATAACTTAATCTTATCAGAAATAACTTCTCCAGTTGTGAAATTTTCTAATGCTATTAAAGCTAGAAGTTCTTCATGAAAGCATTTTCCATCGAAAAAACGCACATATAAACCTAACTGAGCCACGTCTATGATATCTGTAGATTCGTCAATGGCAATTGATAAAAATTCTGCCTGCTTTATGTTTTCAATTAAAGATTCAAAAACTTCAGTTCCTAAAATTTCGATTCTGCGTATCGTCGAAGTATCCGACATAGGGATTTGCTGAACTGCATGTGACACGCTTGTTTTTATTTTATCATCAACTGCTATTTGGTCCAGAATTGCTAGTATGCATTCTTTCACGGTTTCTGTGTCAGCGAAAGGCCTCTTCTTTTTGGCTAATATCCACGAAACATGCAAAGAAGCCGCTGTGGCTTTTTCTTGTTGAGTACAAGCTCGCACAAACATTTTGCTGCTAGGCTGAAAAGTAGCAATTAATGACTCAATGATTTCCTAGCAGTGAAACCTTCTGGATATGATTTCCCAAAATCAGCGTGTTTCGTTGTAAAGTGCCGCTTTATGTTGTACTCCTTTACTGCCGACACACATTCGTTGCATAGCAAGCACATTGGTTTCGAATTAGGCATTGTTGGTGATATAAATAAATATTTCAGTGTCCAGTCATTGTTGAACATACGATTTTCACACACCCATTTAGCTTTCTTACTAGTACCAGCCATGGCATCAAGTATGTCACTTAAATATTAAAATTTAGATAACTTAAAACACTGTTACTGTTCCAGTTTGTTACTACACAATCGCGTCCGGCAGTCTGCGTCTGTCTGTGACTTGCACACTAGACGTTTACGAAATATCTGACTATAATCTAACAACAAATTCACTGCGATGTCCAGTGTCACTAATGTTCTGCAGCACCCATTGTCATTAATCTTTGTTTACGAGTGTTAAACTTTAAGGGATAGTTCCTCGGTAATCTAAGCGCTAACTATCTGGATCGGGATTGGATCTCTATGCGCCTCCTGTCAAATAAATATCTCACCTTCATTGACTGTCCAGTGGAGCGACTGCTGCCTACCGTGGTTACTTGATTCTTTCCAGCCTATCTTATTACCTTTGGCTCCAAACAGGCGAGTACTGCAATTTCAAGTAACTTTTACCGTGAACTAATTACATTTCCATGCCTGAGAGATTTCCCCAGTTGTGGTATTGTCTGTTCATTCGCCTGTTCCCTTGTATCTTCGCATTTAGAGATCCCTGACAAACATTTCTTATTGTCACATTCGACACAACTGGTTTTTGAAGATTTATTCAGAAACATTGATTGATTACATCTTTTTTAAATATACTACATTTCAGTGGCAACGATCGGCAGGCCACTTGGTAGGTCTCCGCGGGCCAGATTTGGCCCGCGGGCGGCCAGTTGAATAGCCCTGCAATAAGGGAAGCACAGAATAATAACACTAACTTACCATATCGGCCTGTGGTAGCACAGTGATTAGATTCTTGCCTGCATCCCAAAAGCCTTGAGTTCAAATCCACACTTTTGCAGATTTTGTTTCCTGTGTTCACTGGCTGTAAACTCCAGCAGAAAATTCTGGTTGTTTGTCCACTTCTGGTCTTTGGTCTTGTCCCAAAGCTTGAACTTTTCCATGCTCATCTGTTTTTCAGATCTGACAATATTTGTAGGCAGACTGTTGGTTCCTCCTATCCACTCAGGCAGGTGCTCTGCGACTTAGAAGGAAACAAACTTTTGAATATTTACCGTTTACAGCATACTTGATGTTGTTATTGTTGGGTGCATGCTGTTTCAAGGGGGAGGGGTGCTATCTTTTCTTTTCTTCAAAATGAAGCCCCACAACCCACATGAGGGTCGGATTTTTATGACTGGGCTTTCAGGTTGAGCCAGCCTAAAATGGATATTAGGGAATGTTTTGGGAAGTAAAGGCTGTCAACAGGATGCTGACCACATCATCCATTATATGCTGATTCTTCTTTTTTTGTTTTTGGGTCAAAATTCTGCTTTGTGCTACCAGGTGTCGAATTTAACAGATGATTGATTTCTAGGCTAGGGCATACTTGGCTGCCCACTATACTGTGATGTTGATTTTGCTCACTACAGTGTGTCTAAACAGGTGACGATTCTCACCACAGTGTGTCTAAACAGGTGACGATTCTCACCACAGTGTGTCTAAACAGGTGATGATTCTCACCACAGTGTGTCTAAACAGGTGATGATTCTCACCACAGTGTGTCTAAACAGGTGATGATTCTCACCACAGTGTGTCTAAACAGGTGATGATTCTCGCCACAGTGTGTCTAAACAGGTGACTTTTTTCACCACTGTGTGTCTAAACAGGTGACGTTACGACTAAACGGGTGACTTTTTTCACCACACTGTCTAAACAGGTGACGATACTCACCACAGTATGTCTAAACAGGTGACTTTTTTCACCACTGTGTGTCTAAACAGGTGACGATACGACTAAACGGGTGACTTTTTTCACCACAGTGTCTGAACAGGTGAAGATACTCACCACAGTGTGTCTAAACAGGTGACGATACTCACCACAGTATGTCTAAACAGGTGACTTTTTTCACCACACTGTGTCTAAACAGGTGAGGATACTCACCACAGTATGTCTAAACAGGTGACTTTTTTCACCACACTGTGTCTAAACAGGTGACGATACTCACCACAGTATGTCTAAACAGGTGACTTTTTTCACCACACTGTGTCTAAACAGGTGACGATACTCACCACAGTATGTCTAAACAGGTGACTTTTTTCACCACTGTGTCTAAACAGGTGATGATACTCACCACAGTGTGTCTAAACAGGTGACGATACTCACCACAGTGTGTCTAAACAGGTGACGATACTCACCACAGTGTGTCTAAACAGGTGATGATACTCACCACAGTGTGTCTAAACAGGTGATGATTCTCACCACAGTGTGTCTAAACAGGTGACTTTTTTCACCACTGTGTGTCTAAACAGGTGACAATACTCACCACAGTATGTCTAAACAGGTGACTTTTTTTCACCACACTGTCTAAACAAGTGACGATACTCACCACAGTATGTCTAAACAGGTGACTTTTTTCACCACTGTGTGTCTAAACAGGTGACGTTACGACTAAACGGGTGACTTTTTTCACCACAGTGTCTGAACAGGTGAAGATACTCACCACAGTGTGTCTAAACAGGTGACGATACTCACCACAGTATGTCTAAACGGGTGACTTTTTTCACCACAGTGTGTCTAAACAGGTGACGATACTCACCACAGTATGTCTAAACAGTTGACTTTTTTCACCACAGTGTGTCTAAAAAAAAGGTACCAGTGCTCACCACAGTATGTCTAAACGGGTGACTTTTTTCACCACAGTGTGTCTAAACAGGTGACGATACTCACCACAGTATGTCTAAACAGGTGACTTTTTTCACCACAGTATGTCCAAACAGGTGACGATATGTCTAAGCGGGTGACTTTTTTCACCACACTGTGTCTAAACAGGTGACGATACTCACCACAGTATGTCTAAACAGGTGACTTTTTTCACCACTGTGTGTCTAAACAGGTGAAGATACTCACCATAGTATGTCTAAACAAGTGACTTTTTTCACCACTGTGTGTCTATACAGGTGACGATACTCACCACAGTATGTCTAAACAGGTGAATTTTTTCACCACTGTGTGTCTAAACAGGTGACGATACCTACCACAGTATGTCGGAAGAGGTGACTTTTTTCACCACTGTGTGTCTAAACAGGTGACAATACTCACCACAGTGTGTCTAAACAGGTGATGATACTCACCACAGTGTGTCTAAACAGGTGATGATTCTCACCACAGTGTGTCTAAACAGGTGACTTTTTTCACCACTGTGTGTCTAAACAGGTGACAATACTCACCACAGTATGTCTAAACAGGTGACTTTTTTCACCACAGTGTGTTTAAAAAAAGGTACCACTGCTCACCACAGTATGTCTAAATGTTTGACTTTTTTAACCACAGTGTGTCCAAACAGGTGACGATACTCACCACAGTATGTCTAAACAGGTTTATTTTTTTCACCACAGTGTGTCCAAACAGGTGACGATATGTCTAAACGGGTGACTTTTTCACCACAGTAGCTCTGAAAGAAACAATACCTACAACAAAATGTACCAGTACTGAGTATCATTGCCTACTGCCAGAAAAAGAAAAAAAAACAATTCATGGGTTTAGCACCATATCTCTGATGCACCTTCTGAGTCCAGAAGAGTTCTTTACTTTACTAATAATTCATCATCAGTGAGCAGATTGTTTTCAGAACATCACATTCATAGTGACCTGCCAGAAAACCGCACGGTCACCTCACAAGTTTCCCACCTCAGGAGTGTCCATCCCCAAGGTGTCCGTGATATTCGGTGTCCAAATCTGTGCTCACCCCTTGACCCTTTTTCACCGAAGTGATTACCTCAATTACTGCTCTGTTCAAACTGCTGTGACTTTATGCATGGCTGTGTGGGTTCCAAGGCTCTGTTGTGGGGGAGGAGGGGAGTACAGCCACTGCCTCCCTGACATTAAACAAGCATGCCATAAAAGATGACCAATTAGGGTTGTTTCTTCAGAAATCAGTGTGCATCTGCCTGAGAGGCATGGAACCAACAGTCTGTATACAAATAATATAGATCTGTAAAATGGATGTGCATACAAACTTCTCTCTTATTGAGCTTCCTGGTCATAGGTCAGTGAATTGCTTGTTGTTGTTGTTGTTGTTGACGTTATAACCAGCTCTTCTTGGGAACACTTTTCTTCTACGTTTCCCGGCTGTGAGCTCTGGTGGAAAGTCCTGGTTGTTTATGTGTTTGGACTGTGGCTTTTTGTCCGGGCCTGAGTTTTGCATGTACATCCACTTTACTCCCTTATTTGTGCGCAGTTGGTTGTTCCTTGCCGCCCAAAGAATTATTTAAGCATGTATTTTTCAGTCCAGTATTGATTTGGATCCTGAAATAGAATTGATTTTTCATGAACTTTTATAAAATTAATTGGCCTGCCGTTTTTCTTTATTCTTGAGTATGTTCTTTTATTTCCGTGACATTCTTTGTTTGACATAGTTGGCTGGCACTTTGCTATGTCCTGAGAAAAGTCAATAGTGTTTCCCTTAGTTAATAACAGTTAATGGCAGTACAATGTAAAGATAGATTTATAGCAGACAGCAGTGTTAAGAATATTTTTCTTTTTCTGCAGTTGCCCATACAATGGCAGTTCGCATGTTTTGTGGTTTACAGCTAGGCTGTGATATCTATGCCTTTTGGGCCAGTGCAGCTGATTTCAGAAGACTCATAATTAGTGGCCTTTTACAACATGCTTCCTGGCGGGCAGTGGGTCTATTGTTTTCTTCCCCCCAAAATTGGGGTCCTTGAACCCACACAGGACAGCTGGTGTTGGAATGTGAAATGTTAGGCCTATGTAGATTAAAAAAAAAAAAAAAAAACAAGAATAAAAACCTAAAGAAGCTTGCCTTTGGCACATCAGGCATCACTGCTAGACATTTTTATTGACCAGTCGGCACTCCCATTGGCTGCCTTTACTTTTCAGGACATTACCTGGTCCATTTTGGGTTGGGTCGACTTGAGAGCCAAGATTTGTTTAGCAAAACTCCACCTGCAGCTGGCTTTCACAGATACTGGACCAGAGCTTTTCAAACTTTTCATGTCGGTGACACTCAAGAAAAAAAAAGAAGACAAACAGAATTTGACATCAAGAATTCAGAATGGGTACTGCTGTCACAGAAAGAAATTGCAACTTACTGTGAGTGTTTTGCAGGGAAGAATGATTATAATAATACAGATACTTTGAAAGAAAATGATTCAGGAAGAGAACTGATTGCCCACATCAGAAGGAGACAGTCTAAATCCCTTGGTCATGTCATGAGAAGGAGAAAACTGAGTACATTGTGACATTGGGAAAGTTGGAGGGGAAAGGAAGCAGAGGAAGATGGAGAGAGAAGATGCCGGACAGTGTAAGATCTTGGAATGGAAAATTATCATTGTCAGAACTGATTGAAAGTACAGGAGACAAGGTTGTTGATAGACATGACTACCAACCCAACACGGCATGGACTTTATATATATATAAAAAGTTTAATACACCAGAATATTAGGGGTCATTGTGGCTGAGCGGCTAGACACTCCCCGTGTATCGGAAGGTCATGGGTTTGCTCCCTGGCGGAGCCGGACTTTAAAAAAAAAAAGACTTTGGGTCCCAGGTTGACCCAGCCTTGAGTGGGTACTGGCTGCATTCCCGGAAAGTAAGGCGGCTGGCATAATGCTGACCACATCACCCATCTTGTGCCGATTGGTCTATAAAAAATATAGGTCTAGCCCTATATGCCCTATATGCCTAAAGGGTGGGGAAAAGGGTCCTTTACTTACCAGAAAATTCAAGCACACCTGCTGTAAAGCTACCCCCTTATAAGAGATAAAGTTGCATGCATAAATTATGCTTGTGCAGCACACCTTTACACTGCATCCAGCACACTAATGTGTCGTGACACAGTTTGGAAAGCTCTGTACTGGGTTATTACATGAGGTGGGCTGGCTAGTTCCTTTTCCTGTCACTTTTTCTTGCTAGATAATTATGGAAATTGGTAGCCATTTTTAAAGGGTTGGGTCAACCCCTGAACAGCACCACTACTGGGGTTTGAGCCTGGACCATTGTCTTGACAGGCAAGTTCGCTAACTTCTGAACCGCCGTGTTATTCCAGGCAGGAACAAGAAAGAGAATCATAAAACGTGTTGTTCCATTTCTTCAGTGAAGGTTAGTTTCAGTAGATCAGTGCTTTCACTTCTGTCTTTGAAAATGGCTAATTGCCCTATGCATTCATTAGTATTGCGTGTGTTCGGCCTACTTGTCGCCACTGACTGACTTTCATTAATGACATATCTCAATTCTGGTGGCGGTTGTTGGTGTTAGCACCTCTAGCGACTGCCTTTTTCGTTTACTGTATATGCATATTTGTTGTTGTTGCCAGGACTAATTGTTTGTTCACTAGTCTTTTAAATGGGACGGTGAAGGACAACTTGTGTAATTTTCACTTGCACGGAAACAGAGCAGTTATGGTCTGATCGTATGCAGTGAAGATGAAACCTTGACTGCTACAACTACTACTTCTGTCTTGCGGGGATCTTATGTGGAAAGGCCCAACTGTATCATTGTGTGACTTTTGCATCACTGTTAGAATATCTCCATGTGGGTTTCTGGCCTTTTTTTGGGGAGAAAAATAGACTCATTACCCCTTGAAAAGTGTGTCGTACAAGGCAACTAATTAGTTTTACCTTGAAAGTGGGATTGCATCTGCCTGACAGGCCAGAAACAAACAGTTTGCATACTAATAAGCCAGATCTGTAAAATAGATGTGCATGCAAAACTCAGGTTTTGGAACAAGACCAAAGTCCAGAAGTGGATGAACAGTCAGAACTTTTCACCGAAGTTTACAGCCGGTGAACATGAAGAAGAAGGCTGTCTGAATAGGAAACCAAGCACCTATGATAGCATACAGTGAAGAAAACCAGAATCTGTCTACAGATTCAGGAGACTAGTGACCATTGTCCTGTTGCCTGGTTTCAGTATTGTCCTCTTCTTTCTTTAGGGTCTGCCCCAGCATGAGTTCAGTTCTGACATCCTGCAGGAGAGAATGAAGGAAAATGAGAGGCGGCGGAGGATGGCTTCCATGGATATTGATCCGGATCTGGCTCAGTACTTGGAGGATGAAAGGCTGGCCATTATTCTACAGAACAGTGAATTTCTTGAAGAGCTCCGCGGGGATAGAATGTTTATGATGACATTGGAGAGAGGTAAGCATTCATTGTTTCTGATAATAAAGTTGGCCCACTTGCATGCTGTCATGGAATATTAGAGATCTAATCTGTTAGGCTTTTGTTGTTATTGGTGTTATTAGGATTAACTGACTCACATTCAAAGAATTAAAAAAAACTGAATATGCAAGGTGAAGAACATAAATTACCAAATAACGCCACTCTTGAGGTGTCGAAAGGTCAACAAGCCTGCAAGAAAGCAACTGATAAATGCACTGTCTGTACCAAATTTGTGTTATCAAAGCCAGACATGGACAGCTCTTGAAAAAAAAAAAATATTTATAAATGCAGCATCACAGCATGTGAGTTGAGGTTTATAAGCAGGTAAAACAAGAAGAGACAGTTACCAACGATATACTAAAAACTTCTTTTTCTTCTTCACTGGTTGTGAATTTTGGTGGAAAGGTCTGGTTGTCCATCTGGACTTTGGACTTTTACCTGGACCTGAGTTTTGCATGTACAAATGTTTTACTGGCTTATTTGTTTGCAGTTCTCGTTCCCTGCCTCACCAACTTGACTTCAAAGGAATACTTAGAACAATGGTGGCATATTACCTGGTAAATAATTTTATAGAACATCACAGAATCAAATGGTTTGGCCACCGGGTCAGAACGGAACAAAATCAGCCAGTGGCTAGAGCATACTACATGAGAACCGCAGGCTACAAGGCAAGAGGCAGACCAAGAAATAGATGGGTGGATGAGGTAAAAGAGACATTATAAAGAAACCCAGATGACACAACACTAGCTGCATCACTAGCAAAAGACTGGAAACTACATCTAACTCCTCTCTGTGACACTTTTGCGGCATAAGCAGTAGTACAAAAGAAGAAGAATGACTCACATGGGGTAATATGATAAGTGTTATACAATTTTTTTTTTTTAATCATCAACATGATACACATTTGCCAACAAGCATTGCTGAGTGGAATTGTTAGGTTCGTAACATAATGGGTGCTGCTCAGAGGTTAGTGAATAGGTTTCACTATCCCCACCGCACCAGCGTTGAAGTTCCCAGCGTGGGTTCTGGGGGCCTTATTGTCCGGAAAACAAGAAAAGACCCACTGCCTTACCAACAGTCATGTCGTAGGTGGGGCGAGTCTGCCTCAGAGGGAAGGAACCAACAGTCTGCATACAAATAAGTCAGAATTGTAAAAGGATGTGCACGCAGCACTTAGGTTTTGGAATAAGACTACAGTCCTGAGGTGGATGAACAACCAGAACTTTCCACCTGAGTTTACATCTGAATCCGAAGAAGAAGAATTTACAAGGTGGCCGACAGTTTTAGAAAATGACTGTTCTCATGTTTTTAAAGGCGGCCAGTTGACACATCAGAGGAACATTTGCAGTTGTCTTCCCTTTGATCGTTATCGATGATCAGTGTGTTTTGAACTGCACGTCTAGAAAATGGCGAGGAACTGGTTGCCACTAAATTGGCTGTGTGCCTTATGCAGTAATGTGTATGCACCTGCTGGTTTGTCGTCACTGCTTCCATAAAGTATGAATAGTTATTCTGCTAGTGGCACATCTGACAGCTGCTTGATGCATGTGCAGCCTGTTGGATTTTGCTGGGACAGCTGTCATATGGGACAGTGATGGGTATTTTGTGTAGTTTGCACGGGCACATAAGTGTTGATTGTAATGGGACCCTATTTGTAATGAAGTTGGAACTCTGACTGTTCAGGAACAGGCATGTAAGAGGAACAGTTGAATCTGCTACACCAGAAACAGTTAAATAGGCATATGAGAGGAACATTTGAAGCTGTCATACCTTTCATCTTTATCACTGATCAGGAACAATTAAATAGGCATATGAGAGGGACATTTGAAACTGTCATACCTTTCATCTTTATCACTGATCAGGAACAATTAAATAGGCATGAAAGAGGAACATTTAACGCAGTGATACCTTTCATCTTTATCACTGATCAGGAACAATTAAATAGGCATGTTAGTAGGAAATTTGAAGCTGTCATACCTTTCATCTTTATCACTGATCAGGAACAATTAAATAGGCATGTTAGAAGGAAATTTGAAGCTGTCATACCTTTCATCTTTATCACTGATCAGGAACAATTAAATAGGCATGAAAGAGGAACATTAAACGGAGTGATACCTTTCATCTTTATCACTGATCAGGAACAATTAAATAGGCATGTTAGTAGGAAATTTGAAGCTGTCATACCTTTCATCTTTATCACTGATCAGGAACAATTAAATAGGCATGTTAGAAGGAAATTTGAAGCTGTCATACCTTTCATCATTATCACTGATCAGGAACAGTTAAATAGGCATGAAAGAGGAATATTTAACGCAGTGATACCTTTCATCTTTATCACTGATCAGGAACAATTAAATAGGCATGAAAGAGGAACATTTGAAGCTGTCATACCTTTCATCTTTATCATTGATCAGAAACAATTAAATAGGCATGAAAGAGGAACATTTGAAGCTGTCATACCTTTCATCTTTATCACTGATCAGGAACAATTATAGGCATGAAAGAGGAACATTTGAAGCTGTCATACCTTTCATCTTTATCACTGGTCAGGAACAAGTAGTGTATTTTCCCAAGAACCTCTAACGTATAAGACTATTTTGCCCAAAATTTCCATATACGGGGCAATCTGAAATTTTAAACTAAATAATTTTGTATGTATGTATGTATGTAAATTGTACCCCACCAAGACATCACGCAAGCGATAAACACCCGATGACACAAAGTACCACCATGCGGATGGAAATCACCCGTGGAGAGGTACAGGAAAGCCCATTTAGCGGTTAGGCCATATTTAAGGCCTGCCTATATTTAGGGCCCCCGGCAAAAGCCAGGGTGGGGCTTCAAAATAACTAAAAATTGCATCCCACAGGGGGATAACACTGTTATGAAACAATTTTTGAAAAACTAATCACATCTTATACACAGAAAAATATGGTATATAATAAGCATATAAGAGAATTATTGGAAGCTTTCTTATCTCAGCTTTGAGCTTTGAGCTACACCAGGATCTATTTGAAAATGCACATCATAGGAACATTTCATGCTGTCATCTCTTTGATCTTTGTCACAGATCAGAAAAGCCCAGATAACGAGAAGCCCAAGCAGGAACCAAAGCCAAACCCTGTATCCTCTGCAAGCTTAGATGGTGATGACAGGGATTTCATTGGTGAGTTTCAACTCTTTCAGTATGTAAAAGTAAGGGACCCCTTTCCACGCATGTAGAGCTTATTGGGCATATAGGGCTAAACCTATATTTTGTGGACCAGTCGACACTTGGTGGGTGATGTGGTCAGCACTATGATATCCGCCTTTACTTCCCAGGCTTGCCCCTGGTACCCAGTCAAGGCTGGCTTGACCTGGATGCCAAGGTCATTTATGAAGAAGAAAAAGTCCTGCTCCGTCAGGACCTGAGCCCACGACTTTCCTGTCCCTAGGCACAATCTCTAGGAGGCAACACCACAGAGGCTCCCCTCTTTCAGTATCTAACATTCAAAAGACACTCTATGTTTAGGTCTGTCTGTCCATCGGATTAATTGGGGATTGTGTGAAGCGGATTAATTGGGGATTGTGTGTAGCGGATTAATTAGGGATCTTCCAGTGTGCGTCCATGGCCCCATTTTGGGGAAAAAAACAATTGACCCAATTGTTCCCCGTGTAGGTTCTGGGGCCCTATTGTGGTGACAACGGGAATAGGCTCCAAACAAGCATGTTGTAGGAGTCGACTAATTGTGGACATCCTTCAAAGTCGGAGTACATATACCCTAGAGGCGAATAACTAACAGTCTGCATACAAATAAGCCAGGTCTGTAAAATGGATGTGCATGCAAAACTCAGGTTCTGGATCAAGACCAAAGTCCAGGAGTGGACAGACAACCACAACTTTCCTTCAGAGGTTACAGCCAATGTATACTAAGAAGAAGAGCACCACAAAGAAAGTACCTTTGAAACAGTCAACAATAGGGACTTAAAAATAATCATGGGGAAGTTCTTATCAACTTGAAAGGTTAGTCTGACCAGATCAGTCAAAAATAATCATGGGAAAGTTCTTTTCAATTTGAAAGGTTAGTCTGAACTGAACAGACCAGTCAAAAATAATCATGGGGAAGTTCTTATTAACCTGATAGGATAGTCTGAAGTGATCAGACCAATTAAAAGTAATTGAAAGTTCTTATCAACTTCAAAGGATAATCTGAGCAGATTAGACCGGATTTACTCCCAGACTTTTGGTCTGCAGAATTGAGATTGATATAAACTGTTAGAAACCATCTTCAGAAAATATTCGAAAAAATTATGACGGATGAAAAAGCATGCTAGCAAAAGCTCTTAAAGTCAATATAAAGACGCTAACTGAATTACCACACACATTATTTTGCTGTCTCTGTGTGACTAAAGAAATACCTGTGAGACTGGAGAGAAGGTTGCATTTTGTAAGTGAATAAAAAAGAGCACTTGCAACATTGAAAAAAAAGGAATGGTAGAAGAATACTGTAATAGCAGTTCCTGGAAAAATATTAGGCTGCTTCTGTGTCTGCAGAGTCAGTGGTTGTCTCCAAGAGTTTTGCACAAAACATGAACTGTGTAGCTCTAGCGATGACCCCACAGGGGCTTTGTAGTAACTGCATCCGTGAACTGAATGACAGAATTCAAAAACAAACCCACAGACTTTAGACATAAGACATTAGACCCTAGACACTTGAGACTGGCTTTGTGCTTCAGGGGGGAACAGACCCGAACCCACTGCTTGATAAGCAATTATACTAATAATTACAGTTTTTTTTTAAACAGACTATAATAATTTATTGTTCATGTCAGAGGTCCTAGGTAGTTAGCATCCTTTGGATTTTTCTCCAGGTTGTGCCGGTGTTTTGGGAAAGGAACAGGCAGATAGACTGGCTGGTTCTGCACCATTTGATGGTGAACTGATGTATGACAAGCTGGATGTTGTGAGACCCTTTCCCAGGGAGTGAACAGTGCCGAGGCACAGATAGATCATTATTTTCTGAGGAGAATGACACTGCGAGGAGTTACAAGGGGATCTGGCCGACGCTCGACATTCAGGGAAAGGCGAGACAGATATACTACAATCAGTTACTGGTACCATCGGAATTTTAATTCTTCACTTGCTGCTGAAGATGGGAATGGAGCGCTTATGGGGGTGTCCAGAGTGCTGTGATGTTGATTTTTAATTCAACATTAAACATTAATAATTTATTGTAAAACTGTTCCCAGAGGGCTATGGAGATGATCGACACGAAACATTGGAAGCATTTCCCTTTAGCCAGCAGCTGCCACCTCCTGCCAACGAGGATGTAGAGCTTCGCCAGAAGTTGAGAAATATGGGCAAAGGTAAGTGTCACTGCTTCAGTACAGCTGATAATTGAAAGGAAATAACACTAGTTGTTTCATCCTATAGAAAAACCAACTGCAGGAATCCAAACACTACTGTCACATGAGCAGTTTGGCAAAGGTAAGTGTCACTGCTTCAGTACAGCTGATAATTGAAAGGAAATAACACTAGTTGTTTCATCCTATAGAAAAACCAACTGCAGGAATCCAAACACTACTGTCACATGAGCAGTTTGGCAAAGGTAAGTGTCACTGCTTCAGTACAGCTGATAATTGAAAGGAAATAACACTAGTTGTTTCATCCTATAGAAAAACCAGCTGCAGGAATCCAAACACTACTGTCACATGAGCAGTTTGGCAAAGGTAAGTGTCACTGCTTCAGTACAGCTGATAATTGAAAGGAAATAACACTAGTTGTTTCATCCTATAGAAAAACCAGCTGCAGGAATCCAAACACTACTGTCACATGAGCAGTTTGGCAAAGGTAAGTGTCACTGCTTCAGTACAGCTGATAATTGAAAGGAAATAACACTAGTTGTTTCATCCTATAGAAAAACCAGCTGCAGGAATCCAAACACTACTGTCATGAGCAGTTCGGCACAGGGTTTCTTCTTCTTAGCACTTATCCGCTGTAAATTCAGGTGGAAATTTCTGGTTGTTAGTCCACCTCTGGACCCCAGTCTTGGTCTAGAACCTGAGTGGCGTGCACACATACAGATCTGGCTTTTTTGTATATGCAGACTGTTGGTTCCTTACCTCTCAGACAGATTTACTCCAACTTTGAAGGAAACTTTTTAGTCGCCTTGTACGACATGCTTGTTAGGGAGGCAGTGGTTCTAATTTTTTTATCTTTTAAAATGGGGTGGTGGAACCCACACGAGATGGGGTAAGAAAAGGATATTAGGATTTAAAAGATACTCTGGGCATAAAAGTTAACGGTGGGAATGTACGCAGGGGGTCGAGAACCTTTTGATGTGCTGTGATGTGAGCGACACTGAGCAAAGGAATTTGTACATGATGTTGTACACACTTTGTGAATTCCTGTCCATTCATCCTATAGATTTGTATTATTCTCAAATACTGTTATGCATTGCAGCATCAAGAAAACAGTTTGCAGCTTTGGCTCGGAAGTTTTTCCTTAAGCGAAAGAAGAAATCTGCACAACAGATGTATCCTTTTATAAATTGTAATTGTTTTTCATTTTATGTTCTGATTTAAAAAAAAAATTCTTTTAAAAATAAAAGATAAAAAATCTGTTTTTCAAAAAGCTTCCTGTGTGGGCTCAAGGGACGTGGTTTAGAAAGAAAAAGAAACGAGAATAGACCAACTCCCCATCACAAGCATGTCATAAAAGCCGACTATTGAGGGATGTTTTCTTTCGAAGTCGGAGTGCATCTGCCCGAAAGTTGAGGAATCAATAGTCTGCATATGAAAAAGCGAGAACTGTAAAATGGATTTGCACACACAAAGTTCTCAAACAAGATCAATGTCCAGAAGTGGACGAACAACAAAAACTTTCTGCCTGAATTTCAGCCGGCAACCATGGATCACGAAGAGGAAAAACATCGACATTCTGAACGAGGTGAACATCAAGGAGAACTGGCTCATAAACAGCATCGTGTCCCGAAAGTTGAAGTATTTTGGCCACATCAAGCGCCATGGTGGCTTGGAAAAGACGGTGCTGTAGGGTGCAGTTTGTGGAAGACCAGGCAGGGGTCGACCACTGCCAAGATGGATACATTGAAGATGCATTGGCATTAAAAGCACATTAGGCCGGAGAGCTGGCTAGAGAAAGGGATACTTTCAGGCGTGCCGTGAAGAGAGCGACGTTCTGTAAAGGACTTGCTGATTGATGAATGATGACTGTTAAAAAGAAGAAGAGTTTTAAATGCACATAATAACTGCCCCAAAAAGACAACATAATTTATCATATGGTTTAATGGACACACAAGATTAAATATACTCTTTACAAAATTCATCTACAATGTTGTATCACAAATAATACAAGTGAGGGTTGCTCTTGGTAGTAATATACATAAAACTACGTAATAATCAGAAGAGCAGGAGTGCCAACAGTATACTTTCTATGCCAACAGTATACTTGCTATGCCAACAGTATACTTTCTATGCCAACAGTATACTTGCTATGCCAACTGTATACTTTCTACTGAAGCAAAAACTCCCGCTTTGGTTGGGACATGTCTCCCGCCTGGGCGATAGATAGACACATTTTAACTGATCTCCTGTATAGCAAACTGGACATGAGAAAAGATTGGCAGGTTGCAGACCAAAGCTGTGATATAAGGGCAGGCATAATCGGGACCTGAGAAACACTAACATTGACTCAGCCACCTTGGGGGGAATCAGCTACATACCAACTCCCATGGAGGGCAGACAGTGAAAGACAGACTGTCAGGGCAGACAGTGAAAGACAGACTGTCGCAGTTTGCAAGAGACTTAACACAATAACTGTAGAGAGGAAATGTCTGAGAGGAAAACCAGCCTCATTACAGTACTTAAAACTTAAAATTTTTAATTTTAATGGTAATTCAGTACTGTTTTGTAAAGTGGAAATATGGGGAACAACTAAGGCAATTACTAAAAAAAGAAAAAAAGTACAAGCATTCATTAACTGGTGCTGTGCAGAATACTAAAAAATTAAAGAAATGATAGAATCACTGATGTAGAGCTTTGGGAGATACCTAAACAAGTTCCAGTGGACCAAGAGGTGAAGAAAAGACGCTGGCGTTGGATAGGACGCACATTGAGAAAACCTGAAAACACTCTAGATTGTAACACATGGAGAAGGGAGCTAGAGTGTGAAGTTAAAAAGATGATGAGGACATGGGGGGAAGCTGCATGCAATAGCGAAGGATAGAAAGATTTGACATGAGATGGTTGAGAGCTTATGCTCCATGGGGGGGAGGACATGGGGGGAAGCTGCATGCAATAGCGAAGGATAGAAAGATTTGACATGAGATGGTTGAGAGTTTATGCATCATTGGGGGGGGGGGGGGGGGGGGGGGGGGGGGGAATAGAAGGCAGAAGAAGTACAGTAGAGTATCAAGGTATATGTAAACTGTCATAGGCTGCCACTCCGGCGTGTGACTTTAGAGACTAGCAGACACTGTTCCCAAACCAAGCTGCACAGCTCCGTGGTCAACAGGGACTGACGGTCGCCTGCACATAATATAAGAAGAAGAACTCCACAACGGGAGCATGCACAGCAGGAGATCTACTGATCATCAGTAGGTTGGTCCCTCTTTCAGCAATCGTTTCAGCCTGTTATCCTCCTAGACCACTGGTTCTCAAACTGGGCCGCGACCACTTTGGGGGTCAAACGACCCTTTCACATAGGTCGCATAAGACCATGGAAAAACACACATTCGCTGAAGTTATGAAGTAGCAACGAAAATAATTGTGTGCTTGGGGGTCACTGTAACATGAAAAACTGTATAAAAGAGTCACAGCATAATGAAGGTTGAGAAGGCGTGCCAACCTGAGTCATGGCTCCTAGGACTCGTTACAAAGTATATGTGTGTATAATAGAGTTAGATGAATACAAATAATTGCTGCTACTTTTTACAATTCCAGTCGAATATTATATATATTCTTAGTTCAGATCTCCCTGTACAGCTTTGTCTTGATTGAGGTGGGAACAGTCCAGGTGCTCTTATTGATTAGTCTGGCATTTAACAGTGAAAGCAATACCCTTAACTTTGATGCCTAGATTGAAAGAATCCCAAGCTCCATCGATGATGAACCTTTTAGATGAGGACGAGGATGAAGACGTTGATGATGATGAGGTTAACAGTGGTGATCGTAATGCACGCTCTGAATCATATGGCTGTTCCAACAGTTCTCAGGTATCTGTCTATTTAAGAACTGAATTTACTATGGGTTGTTGTCAGCGGTCATTGTAAGTGGAAGTAAGGAACCCTTTTGATGCCAGTGGATCATCAGGCATACGTTGTTAGAAGAATTGTATTTTTATGGAACACATCAGCACTCGGTGGTTGGCATCTAGTTGGCCGCCTTTGCTTCCCAGAACATTGCCTGGTACCTGTTTGAGGCAGGGTCAACCAGAAAGCCTAGATCAACCAGGAAGCCTAGATCAGTTATAAAAAAATCAGACCCCTTGCAGATTCAAACCGGGGACCCTTTGAGCGGTAGGTGAGTGTCTAACCACTACGCTACTGTAGCTCCCTGAAGTTATTGTCATTGCATGGAAAGATCTGTCCATTAGCACTTGCAGCTGCTTCTGCAGATCACACTAGTACATCTGAGCTCATTGCATGAACTCTGCAGCTTCTATGATTATCAGAGTTGACTTTTGACCTGGACTGCCTTAAAACAATGGTCAGATTCCTTTGGGAATCTCCCAAAACATTCTTGGAAACATTTTACACAGGTCACTGAGAAATTTTATAATATAAAGATTAAAAATGCAGTATTCAGTAACTATGAACACAGTGGAGCGTTAAATGGAATACATTCCTTAAGATCTTGGGAAATATGTATCAGGTGGCCTAGCCCAATGCCCGGGGAAAATAATGATTCAAGAATTATTAAAAAAAACAACAACATGTGGATGACTGGGGAAACCCCAGGATATAGTCACATTCTGACCTTGTAAACGCTATGCAGGCACATTAAAAAAAAATCACTGGTGCTAACCAGACGTCTCATAAACTCGCCACAGTACAAGTCAGAAAATCTGCACTTGCAGGGAATAGGAGCCTACGGGAAGTACTGGGTCTGCAGCTTCCTTTGGCGATTTAATAGACTGTCATAACCTATTGTGCCATTATATTTCTCACCAGGCTCGCTGTCTAGTTCTCCCCTTCTGTTCTATCCTTTGAATAACATGGATGGAAAATTTTCAGTACCTTTGACCTTTGTCAACAATTTATTTCTTAGGGTTTCTCTTGAATTTTCTCGTTTCCAAAACCCATTTGTTTCCTGTTTAGTTTGTCTGTCTGCTTCTCCTCACGATGTGTCTAATGTGGTATTTGCCATCGTCTCTTTCTCATAACCGTTGAAACAAGAAACCGTACATACTTTAAATAACTTGTTTGTGGGTTTTCTAATTGCAAACTTTTTCCAAGGCAGTAGACGTTAGTCTCTTCTTTGTGACTTCTGACTTGATCTTCTTCTGCCTTTCAGCTCCCACTGGAGCATAAGCACTCAACCAAGTCATGACAAGCCTTTTGTTGACTTGTTTAGGATTGGTTGGACTTTGCAGGTAAAGTTTCAACAGGATAAGGTAGCCATCTCATGCCAACCTTCCTTAGTCACCTTTTATGACATACATGGCTGGTATAATGTTATTGGCATCACTTAAAGCCTTTAATATAGACCCTGACACTTGGGAGGCTGCTGCGGAAGACTAGATAGACCACATGGCGAATGTCTGCCCAAAGAGGGGCAGTGACTTGCAAGGTTTCTGAAAAAAGGGGCAGCTGAACAGCGCAGACATGCTAGAAAAACCCATTGAACAAGTCCTTTACCTACAAACTGTTCCATGCCCTTATTGTCCTAGATCCTTCCGAGGCCTGTATTGGACCTCCGAACCTCATCACTTGTGATGAAGGAACAGGTAGCTGTTTTAATGGTAGGCAGGTTTGCATTGGATGGTAGTGTATGTGTGCTCTTTTGTGGGTGCATTGCCAGCTTGTGTGATTGCCCATTTGTGCCAACAGTGAGCTGCTGTTCTGGTGTTAAGACTGTTAGTGTTGGCACATCTGACAGCTGCCTTGTGTATTTTTGCTTAGCGTGTTCAAGATTGAAGATTTTACTGGGACTGACAGGCTTTTCACTGGTCTTCAAATGGATCAGTGAGGGACGATAAGTATGATTTCCAATGGCTTATCAACAGAGCAGTTGTTGGGCGACCCCTCTGCGGGGATGTGGAACCTCGACTCATGGACTAACAACTTGGGTTGTGTATGTGTGTGTGTGTGTGTGCATGCCTGCAGTGGTATGGGAGGAAATAAGCCATTTCCTGTTAATAAAAGGCGACTAATTTAGGATTGCTGAAAGTGGACATGTTATGCTGAAAGGTACAGATATTGCGGCCAAGCTGTAAAACATAGCACAACATGGCACCCGCCCTTTTTGAAAATAACAGTAGAAGAAGAAAACTGTTATGATTTAAAAGATACAATGACTAAATATTATTTGCTTAGACAGTAGACTAACCACCGAAATTGTTAACCAAAGTGCTAATTGCACTAACTTACCTGTAATTTCCATTTTGGTAAGTTAGTACACCAATCACCATTTTAGTTAGTGCGCTAACTGCCTATTTGTTTCTCAGTGCTTTAACCACTAGTTTGGTTAGTTCCAAAACCATTGTTTTTATCAGTGCCTTGACCAACATATTCATTAATCAGTCCACTAATCAACATATTGTTTAGTCAGTGCTTTAACCAATGTTTTAATTTGTCAGTGCACGAACCTGAATTTTAATTAATCAGTGCACATACTACCATTTTTATAAGTGCACTAACCATAATTTTAATTAGTCTGTGTACTAACTATAATTTTAAACAGTGCACTAACCGTAACTTTAATTAGTCAGTGCACTAACCATAATTTTAATTAGTTGATGCTGAAACCATCACAATAATTAGTCAGTACGCTAACCATCATTTAAATTAGCCAGTGCACTAACCATAATTTAAATTAGTCAGTGCACTTACCATCTTTTTTTTAGTCAATACAAGAGCTGTCAATTTATTTGATCAGTGCAGTAACCATCATTTTAATCAATCATTTCACCAACCATACTTTTAATCAGTCATTGCACTAACTACCAATTTTAATTAATGCATTAACCATCATTTTAGAGCACGAAGCATAATTTTAATTAGGCAGTGCACTATCCACTATTTTAAAAAGGTCAATGGCAGGTCAGTGGATTGCCCATCCCATTAATTAGTCAGCACACTTACCATCATTTAATTTAGGCAGTACACTAACCCTAATTGTAATTAGTCAGTGTACTAACTGAGGGAGACCAAGAAGATGATGGAGAGATAATATCCAGACAGACCTGCAAACACCTGGTGTTACCAATTGGAAAGAGAAGGCCAACCAGAGAGATGAATGGGGGCGGGTGATATCTGCAGCAATGACCCTCAAGGCATCGGAATGCTGAAGAAGAAGAATGTACTAACCGTGTTTCTAATTTGTCTGTGCACTAACCATAATTGTAATTAGTCAATGCACTAACTACCAATTTTATTAAGTCGATGTACTAACATTTAAATTAGTCAATGCAGTAACCATAATTTTAATTAGTCAGTGCACCTACCATAATTTAAATTGATTAGTGCACTAACCGTCATTTTAATGAGTCAGTGCACTAACCACTGTTTTGAAAAAGTCATTGCAGTAACCATCACATTAATAGGCCAGCTCACTAACCATCGTTTATATTAGTCAGTGCATCAACCAACGTTTTAATTTATCAGTGCACTGACCATTTTAATAAGTTAGTACACTAACCAATATGTTAATTAGTCAGTGCACTGACCACCATTTTAATTAGTCAATACACTGACTATAATTTTAATTAGTCAGTGCACTAACCATCATTTTAATTTTTAGTGCACGAATTGTATAATTTTAATTAGTTAGTGCACTAACCATTATGTTAATTAGTCAGTGCACTGACTATAATTTTAATTAGACAGTGCACTAACCATCATTTTAATTTTTAGTGCACGAATCGTATAATTTTAATTAGTTAATGCACTAACCGCTATTTTAATTAATCAATGCACTAACTATAATCTTAATTAGTCAGTCTGCTAACCACCATTTTAATTATTTAGTTCACTAACCATAATTTTAATTAGCCATGACGCTACCCATAATTGTATTTAGTCAATGCACTAACTACCATTTCAGTTAGACAATGTACTAACCACAGTTTTGGCTAGACAGTGTTAAAATATTTGTTTCTTGTCTGTGATTTCATATAATGATTTGTTTTTTTTTCTATTCACACCCTTCAAACACAAAAGATTGACAGTTTCAAATTAAATCCCCTGTTTGCTTTTTTTCCCCTGCTAGAATTCTGCATCTGCATCAACTTGGAGCAGTCCTCAGTTCCGGCGACATTTTGATGTTGTATAGTGACAGTCGAGAAACCAACCTGCCACACACCAGCCCGCCAGACACCAGCCCACCAGACACCAGGCGACATTTTGATGTTGTATAGTGACAGCCGAGAAACCAACCAGCCAGACACCAGGAGTCACAGTTTACGTCTGCAGTTGGAAGACATAAGTTTAGGAGACAAAATAAAAACACAGTGAATTTTGATGTAAAATACGTGTATTACTCATACTCATCACATCTGCGGAAGAATGCCAAGAACAACTGGGAGTTGTTTTTAATCAAAATGTATATTTTCTTGTACTGATTTTTGTAACTTTTATGTTTAACCCCAAATCAGTTTGTTTGAATTTGCTGTAAATATTTTTTTTTGGCGTGTAAATAATTAGTTGTGTATAGGGCAGTATTTATTATGTGTATATTTTACATATAAGCTTTAATAGAACAAAGTTGTATTCTTCACGAAGAGTTGTTCATCTAACAGTTAGATATTACAAGTTGTCATTTATTTAATCCTATGAGTATAATAATTTATTGTGGTTTTTAATTTTTTTTATACCAGCAGATTTGTTGCTGTTTGTCTTTTGTCAAGTTTTTATTTCTTTTATCTTTGCTATTTTATGTGTTTGAATTTTAGATATTGACTCATTGACTCATTGACTCATTGACTCATTGACTCATTGACTCTTTGACTGATAACTCTTGTGGGTATCAGAGTACACTTCAATTAGTTATAAAT